ACTAAAAAAATACAAAAATTAGCCGGGTGTGGTGGTGTGTACCTGTAGTCCCAGCTACTTGGGAGGCTGAGGCAGGACAATCACTTGAACTCAGGAAGCAGAGGTTACAGTGAGCCAAGATCATGCCACTGCACTCCAGCCTGGGCGACAGAGCAAGACTTCATCTCCCCGCTCCCTGCCCCCTATCCCCCAAAAAAAGGAGATGGCAAAAACATAGACCCAGCATCTTCCTTCATCACACCTACAGGTTTTTTTTTTCCCACACAAGTAGAAAATGACATATGTGCAAGTTATACCCTGAAGCATCCTCCTAAGAAAAGATTAGAAACGATAACCCAAAGATCCCTTCACAGGGAACCAATTAAGTACACAATGGAATGGAATGAAGGACTACACAGGAATAAAAAAAGGAATATCTTTATGAATTATATGGTGTAAATATGTAATGTTACATTACAACCACATGTTATACTATGTTAAAACTACAGTGTTAGACCAAGGCAGTGGCTCATGCCTGTAATCCCAGCACTCTGGGAGGCCAAGGCCGGTGGATCACTTGAGGTCAGAAGGCCAGCCTGGCCAACATGGTATGACCCCCGTCTCTATTAAAAATACAAAAATTAGCCAGGTATGGTGATGGGCACCTGTAATCCCAGCTACTTGGGAGGCTGAGGCATGAGAATCACTTGAACCTGGGAGGTGGAGGTTATAGTAAGCCAAGATTGCACGACTGCATTCCAGCAAGGGTGACAGAGCGAGACTCCGTCTCAAAAAAAAAAAAAAAGAAACCATACTGTCCAAATGCCACAGAGAATATTTTCACTTCCAGGAGATAAAATAAAATCTTATGATAAGGAATCAGGCTGTCACTATGTAATCTAATCTTAGAATCACTAATTGGGAACAACTGGATAATAGGTTTCTCCTAATGTGATATAACATGAAATATACAACATCATTTATGGTGCATTCCAGCTCAAAAATGTTTAAGTTCAGTCTACTGAGCCTTTAGATCTTGTTTCCCAGTTACTACTAAAATTCAGCAGAGGCAAAAATAAATTAAATATACTGCAAAGACACAACCAAGTAAGTGTTCTTGGATTGGACAAACAGCTATAAAGCATAATTATGTTACAATCAGTGAAAATAAATATGGACATGTGTGACAGATGGCCATGAATTCTTTCTAGTTCCCTTCTTCAAGATGTGAAGTCTATTTCCCCATCACTTGAATCCAGGCTGGTGTAGTGTTGAGAGTGAGGCTAAGTGAGTTCTAGCGTCTAGCCTCAGGAGGCCCAGCAGCCTCCCCTTTTGCTCTCTTGGCAGTAGTTGCTAGCTGCCCTGATACGAACCATGCTATGAAAAAGCTGATCTACTGTACTGGAGGATGAGAGGACATATGGAGGAGAAAAGAGGTGGCCCGGCCAACAGCTAGCACCAATTACCAGACATGAGAATGAAACCATCTTAGACCTTACAGCCCAGCCAACTTTCCATCTGAACACCAGGTGAGTGAGCCCAGGCTAACCCACCAGAGAACTCTGATCAGCCAACTCACAGGATCATGAGAAAATAAACCAGTATTTAAGTTATGAAATTTTAGGTGGTTTGTTATATAGCAATAAATAACTTGTAAAAATGGGTTTTAAATAAAAATTTATTAGCTGGGAAAAGTATGCATCATTAACTGAAAGATCTGTTTACAAATCATATGCAGGACAAACTCATTTTGATAAAACACAACACAGACATACAGACAAAAAGACCTGAAAGAATATATACTGATAAACAGAGGGGTTTATAATAAGGGACACTCTGGGTAGTAAAAATATGTTTTTATTTTCTTATTTTTGTTGTCCTGTATCTTCTGTATGCATATATAATGCTTTTGCAGTAATAAAACTTTAAAAATACATATATTTTTTTAAAGGTTTATAGTATTTACTTAGTCATCAGACAAATTGTCAGCAAGGTCCCTGAAGAGCTAGACATGTAAGTTCCTACTAATATCTCACAAAAAGTTGGATAAAGTCAGTCAATCAATAAACCTTTTGGGACTGTTATAGGCTGAAACTGTATCTTCCCAAAACTCATTATGTTGAAGTCCTAGCTTCTAGTACCTCAGAATGTCACTGTAAATGGGAGTTAAAATGAGACCCCTAGGGTGGACCCCAAAGCAATCTGACTGGTATCCTTATTGGAAGAAGAAATTTGGGCACAAAAAGAGATAGCAGGGGCACACATGCATAGGGGACAACATGTGAAGAGGCAATAAAAGGGTGACCATCTGCAAGCCAAGGAGAGAGGCCACAGAAGAAACCAACCCTAGCATCACACTGACCTTGGACTTCCAGCCTCCAGTACTGTGAAAAAATAAATTTCTGTAGTTTAGGCCACCCAGTCCTAGCAAACTAATACAGGGACCAAGTGTATAGCATGACATTTGGGAAACTGGCCTCGTATGCATTATAGCACTGCAAACAAATAATTGAACCATAAAAATAGTTTATATTTATCTTCTAAATTCCTGGAAAGTTTTCATCTTTAAAAGTCAAATAACTGCTGTAAACAGGCACAAAGAATAAATAAATAAATGTGACCAGAAGATAAAAGAGCATGCTTTCTAAATGCAACGCCTCTCTCATTGTGGAATGAATATGTTGTCTAGTTCACATTCCACGTTAGCATAAGAAATGTGTTTTCTTGTTTTGTTTTGGATTTGTTTATTTAGGGTCAATGACAAAGAGCAAAAGTAATGGAGGGCCAACAATGAAAGAACAACATGATTAAGGACTATTGTTTTCTAGCCAAATACAAAACATTTCACTCATATCTACTCCTAAATTTAAAATGTTTTATAAAAATTACAATATTTAAATAATTTTTTAAAACATATTGAGGATAGTTAAGAGAACAGAAAAAAAAGAAGAGAGGAGGCAGAAGGGGCGGGGGGCAGGCTAGAACACTATAATGCAGAATCCAGGAACCTGTTTTCTTAAAGCATCTGACTCAGACAACCTTAGACACATGATGTAACTTTTATGAGTTTATTGTCAAGGAAGAAACTTGAACAAGATAATCATTTCTCAAACAGTCCTCATGGACTTCCTAAGGCTTTCCTGTAAATGATTCTAGGGTAAAGAACAGAAATAAACTGGTAGGCCTTGGTACCCTTAGGCCAGATACAAGCAGAGCTACTCCTTTCCATTTGTTTTCCATTTGAATTTGTGTATGTTCATCCAAGGGAAGGGTACTGCAAGTAAAAATACTTGAAACTATTGTATCAGAATGCTCTGTCACCTCTGAATGAACAGTCTTATTGTTCATGCGGGTAGATACTAAAGACACACATATGAAAAAATCAACAACACAGCAGATACACACAGGAGGCAGAATGAAGGGCCAAATGATATTGACTCACTGGAACAACAGGCAAATGATAACGTTAATGGGGACTCTAAGAGGACAGAAAAGAGTGTGCTCTACATGAATAAAGATTTAGAATTGTTAACTGACGGTAAGCATTGCAAAATGAGCATGAAGTAAAACATCATGGCTCAAAAGGTGAATTCAATCTTAGGTATCATTAATAAAAATATAGTTTCTAAAATAAAAGCATTCAACAAAATGGCCAAATATATATTAAAAACTGGTTTATATTACCAATAATCAAAGAATACAGGCAGCAACTTAGGGAAACAGAAGACAGACATTGGAATGAGTCAGACTTGAGCCCCAATCTTCAAGCATACTTCAATCCTATGTAACTTCAGGACTGCAGCTTCCAGAATGCTGACATCATTAATGAGGGGATCCTACAGTGTCTGAGGGTCAGTGACATTATGGAATACACCTAGTGTAACAGGTAGCATATTGTAGGTACTCAAGAAATAGCTAATGCTTGCAGGGCACTATGTGAAATTCTAGCTCATCTAATCCTTACCATAATGCTAGGAGAGAATTATAACACATATATGCAAATTAACACAAGCATGGAACCAAAATGGTAACAGACCAAATCTTCAATGATGGTAGAATACTAGAAGCACTGCCATTTCTCTAGTGGGAACAGAAAGTGGTGCAACTTTTCTGCAAAGCAATCTGACAATGTGTTACTGAGGACTTTTCCAAAGATCATATATCAGGTCCAGCTCTATTAGAGAAAGGAAAGGATTCAGAAAGTACCTAGGGTGGAAATGGGAGTGTAAATGGCTGACTGATTAGTGGCTAACCATGTTTTTCACCAGGAATGCAAAGCATCTCTAGGAACAGAAATATTTTCTTTCTTTTTTATTTTTCCCCATTACTGGTTTCCATGGATGTCCCATTATCAGCCTAAACCTGTTCATTCTGAGAACTCCTAAAGCAGAAATTGGCCCACTTCACCAATCAGTTCCTCACATTTGAATGGAAGCATACTGCCCAGAGAGGTAGATACCTCTAACAATTCAACTGTTTCTTAAGATTAATAAAAGAAGGGCTGAGAGTGGCAGGTCACACCTGTAATCCCAGCACTTTGGGAAGCCAAAGCGGGCAGATCACTTGGGGCCAGGAGTTCGAGACCAGCCTGGCCAACATGATGAAACTCCATCTCTACTTAAAATGCAAAAATTAGCCGGACATGGTGGTGCATGACTATAGTCCCAGCTACTTGGGAGGCTGAGGCAGGAGAATCACTTGAAGCTGGGAGGCAGAGGTTGCAGTGAGCTGAGACTGAGCCATTGCATTCCAGTCTGGGTGACAGAGCTAGACTCTGTCTCAAAAAAAAAGAGGGGGGTGCGGTTAATAAAAAGGTGTGGAATAGAAGCATGTAAATTCTTTCATAATGGGAGGCCTCAAATCCAGAACAATGCATGATATTCTAGGAGATGCCGCCACAAAGAATAAGAAGTAAAATAGTTCACTTCTAAATCCAAAGTATCTTGCCTTTTGAGTACATTATAACTTAAGACCCAAGGAGAAAGGTTTTCATAAAAAGTCTGGTAACAACTGGCACTTACCTAAAATGAGATGAAGTTTGGTTTCTGTTTGGAAAGCATAATGTAATGTCACCAAAAACGGCGACTGCCTGATGTGCTCCAGGACTTGCCGTTCTGTCCTTGTATGCTCTGTGGTTTTGGCCTTTTGAACTATTGTTGCCTTTTTCAAAACTTTCATGGCATACAGCTTTCCAGTATCATGTCCACTTATTTTACGAACTAGAAATACTTTTCCATAAGCTGAAAATGAAAAGAAAAAATAAGAATTAAAATGCTACACAAAAAAAATGATAATTTAGTGGAAATAAATTTCTTTAATGCACAGAAAATACATTCTTTATAGAAAAAGTATCTTTGGTACCAGTTTAAATAGTTCTTTAATAGATTTCTTCAATTTTATACCAAATATATTTCTAGGTCTAACCCTCAATGTTTACATATCTAGCCACTGCTGACAAAATTATGCTTTTACTCTTTTACTGTTATTCTCTCCTCAATATTTTTAGCTGTAGGAAACTAGCTGTTATTATGGTCAACTAACCACAATCCAATTCTGGAACAACCAGGACATTTTAGACATCAGATCAAACTTCTAGGTATATATACATATATTAGTAACTGATGTAGACAAATGAAAGCAGTTCTCAATACGAATTTCATATATATATAAATCAAATGCCTCAATTATTCCTCTGTAGTTATAAAAAAAAGCCTAAAGTAACATAAGCTGACACTATATGAACAAAAGAGATCTTGAGACTTAAAATATAAAAAGATCCTAAATTGCATGCAATACAGACAGAAGCCCTTTTGTATCTCTGGACAGTAATTTACAGCTTACTGGGTCAACCTCGCCACACTTTTCATAAGGAGAACTCTGTTGGGCATGATCCTATGTGTGGTACCCCTCCTCCAGGTAGAGGAATTGTGGCCATGTGGGCACTGTGCCTCGTGGACAGAGTAGGTTCTCTGCATTTATTTTCTTAGAAAAGTGGGCCAGGGCAGGAAGAAGTGGAAGGAAAAGGAAGGAAGAAGAAAAGGCAAAAAAAATCCAAAAACATTTTGGGAATGAAAAGGTGAGTCCCTCACTTCATTCCTACAAGGTATCAAATCTCTATAGCTAATCTCTTTAAAAAGACAAATGTTTTCTGGAATGTTTAAGTCCAGTCTGCCTGTTAAATGTCTTAATCAGACCATTATTGGGTCAATTGGGTTTTGGCCCAGATCAATGTTCACACTCTGTGGTATTTACCACCTAATTCTATTGTAATCCACCCACTAGAAGGGCTCTTGTACTCTGTATGTTATTTAGTTCAGTACTTCGACTGGATTAGTACCAACACATGATGTACAAGGGATCAGTGAAAGACTAATAATCCTTAGAAGGAGTGCCAACACTTATTAAGGACTTGTCTATGCCAGGCTCTGCACTAAACACATTGATTCACTTAATCCTCACAACAGCCACTTTACCCATGAGGAAATGTGTTCACAATAGTTACAGAACTGGCCCTAAGACTGGGGCAAGAAGCAGCAGAACTGATTCAAATGCAAGGAGTGTGACTCCAGGGACCACACTCTGAACCTTAATGAACAAAAAAGTGATATCTCACAAGTGCTAGTAATCAGACATTCTGGATCTTAATACGACCAATACTGACTGTAAACATACTGAACACATTCCAGGGCACAGAAAAAGTTCACAAAGGTTTGTGTATTATCTCACAGTAAATACAATAATTATAGGTTAAGACCTTAATAAGGCAGAAGTGAACCAAAAGGATGAAATGACAACTTTCGGAACCTAACAAATTAGAATATAAAAATGAAAAAGTATTTATCTGTTCAGAAGCAACAAAATGAAGCTAGAAAACACTATGCACTAAGCCTTCCAACAAGGTAAGCCACTATATAAACTCAGGAGAAAGTAAAGTCTACAAGCAGTCCTGAAACTTCTGTGTTCCTTACATACACATGGCACCTGCTCTAAATTCTTGTTCTCCCAGATGCCTATCTCCAGAGCACTCTCATGTTTAAAAATTAGGGAATCCACCTCTGCTTTGAAAACAGGAATTTTTTCCACAACATCACCGAAACATGGCTGTTCAGCTTCTTCCTAGTACACCTGCCTTCAACATAGGTGTTGACCACGTATACGACAGACAGACTGCTGGGTGTTCATACCTAACATCTGAGTACTCAGCATTTATGATATGTAACAACTCATTCAATTATTATAACATTCCTATAATGAAGTGAGAACTATTATCTCCATTTTATGGATGAAGAAATTGAAGTATAGAAGAGTTGGGTCACCTGCCTAAGATCACACTTGCCATTTAGTCTAACTCCTGGGCCCACAGTCTTATCTGTGGTCCAGCTGCTTCACTTAAGTGAATGACTTCATAGGCAAATAAATAGGGAACCAGACATTAAACAGAAGTCACCATACAGGTTAGGTGGAAAGGACCCAGTGCTCCCTCCTACTTCCAAGAGGAGGAAGTTTTGCAAAGCAGCCCATTTTACTGATGGGAGGCTCTAACTGTTAGAAAATCTTCCTTCTATTGACTGGAAGCAGGTCTTTTTATAATTTTCACCTGTCCTTCTATACCCTCTGGACTTAAAAAAGAGTATCACTCTTCTATAAGATAATCTTTTAAATATTTAAAAACACTATCATGCCATCTCCTTACTCTTACTTCCTTAAACCAACCTCAAAGTAAGATGACTCTGAGACCTCTCACCACCAGGAGGTTCCCTTGATATGTTCTGTGGGGTTTAAATATTTATTTGATTTCTTTCTGTTATTTTTTAAAATATTGTATTTCACTCCAAATATGCATGAGGTAGTGCATAGGATGTTAATATACACCATCAAATAATGTAAAATTATCCTGATTGCCATGTTACGCTCTATTGTAACCAAATAAATATTGGTTTAAATATTTATTTGATTTCTTTCTGTTATTTTAAAAAATATTGTATTTCACTCCAAATATGCATGAGGTAGTGCATAGGATGTTAATATACACCATCAAATAATGTAAAATTATCCTGATTGTCATGTTACAAAATCACCCTCCTTGCCATGTGATAACATCCAGAAGTTTCCCAATAATATTAATTAAAGACCACATACTCTGCCAATGCAATTGTGTTCAACTATCAGTCAATGCCAGAGAAAAACTGTAACAAAGCTCACAAATCTTTTGTTTTTACTTTTATAGTTTGCCATGATTAACATTTAAGCTACATCACATGGTAAGTGCCAGTGGATGTTTATTATCAAAAACATTCAAGGAATGCCTTCCAACATTCCAAACAATAAGTATTTCAGACAACAATCTTACTTCTAAGAAGGCTGTATAACTAAAACACAGTTGCTTCCAAACAGTTTCTGAAGCACCCATAAGGCTGTTTATCACATTGCCAAAGGGGAATAAAACACATTCCCTACTAGAGAGATCTTGAAGAAGCCACCTTACCTGGTTAAGCTGGGTTATGGCTCGGAGCAGAGAAAGAAAGTGAAGTAGTCCTTCTGCTGAAAATGCTACCTATTCCAGAACCACCTTTATGTTCTCCAACATTTCAAGAGTAGCCATTGAAGCTGGAATTGATGGCAATATTCTTTTCTTTTAGTTTGCAACTAGATGAATGACTGCCTGCAAGTACAGCCTCCTTTCATTCATTATGTGTGCCCTGACATTATTAGAGTAATCCTATTTTTAAAGTATCTTTAAGAAACTGCAAAGACTACCAATAGTGAAAATACCTTTGGTCAAAAAAAGATAAACAAAACAGACGGTGAGTTCAATAGCTCATGCCTAATGTCAATACTTTAGGGGGCTAAGTAGAAGGATCACTTCAGGCTAGAAGTTCAAGACAGCAGTAAGCCATGATTGCACCACTGCACTACAGCCTGTGTGACAGAACACGATCCTGTCTCCAAAGGAAAAAAAAAGAAAGATAAACAGTACTTCCTACTTGGATGGAGCTAAAACCACCTTCATGCCTTAGTAGGTATGACTAATTTCTACATCAACATGCAATGGCACCAAATGCTCAACCAGCGATCCTCATGTTTCTACCACTGTTACTCCAATCAACTACATCAGAGCCAAAGTCTTTTCAAGATACTCTGCTGAGAAATATGAGCAAGGTATGGGCACAGTGGCTCATGTCGATAATGCCAGAACTTTGAGAAGCAGAGGCAGGGAAATTGCTTGAGCTCAGGAGTTGAGATGAACCTGGATTACAAAGGAAGACCCTGTCTCTACAAAGAATACAAAAATTATGTGGGTGTGGTGGTGTGTGCCTGCGGTCCCAGCTACTTGGGAGGCTGAAGTGGGAGAATCACTTGGACCCAGAGGTAGAAGTTGGAGAGAGCCAAGATCATGTCACTGCACTCCAGCCTGGCCAACGGAACAAGACTCTGTCTCAGAAAAAAGGGAAGGGAAAGGGAAAGGGGGGTGGGAGAGGGGAGTGGGGGAGAAAGAAGGGGAGGGAGAGGGGCGGGGAAGGGGGGAGAGGGAGGGAAGACGGGAGAAAGGAAGAAAGAAACCAAGCCAGACGTGGTGGCTCACGCCTGTAATCCCAGCACTTTGGGAGGCCGAGGTGGGTGGATCACAAGGTCTGGAGATACAGACCATCTTGGCTAACAGCCTGGTTTGCCAGGCTGGTCTCAAACTTCTGACCTCAGATGATCCACCCACCTCGGCTTCCCAAAGTGCTGGGATTACAGGTGTAAGCCACCACAGTCAGTCTGAGATCACGAAGTTCACTGGTTTTCCAGAGCACTAGGCCTGCAGCATTTGACTGAACTCAAGGTAGAGGTTCTACTTATTTTGAGACTGAGGGAAAGTATGTCATAAGTACAAATGAAGGAAGGATTATTTACTGATTTAGCTTGGCTGATATTTGAGACCACATGAATAAGGTAAATCTTTCAATTCATGGCCCTACAGGCACCATTTTGAATGCTGCTGAAAACCTTTGTGCTCTTTTAGCTAAGCACCCATTTCAGAAGAGAAAACTGGATCAACTATGCAAATTTTTCCAAAGCTGGAGATAGATTTCTATAGATTGGAGGAACATTGAAGATATCCTATGAAGGTTACTTCTGTTTAAACTGAAATGTAGATTTTTAATTCTATTCTAACTGATGCAGACAATGAAACATTGACCATCTTTGTTAATAATGATTTCAATGGTTTGATGACAAAAGAAATCATGTAAACTGAACCAAAGGAAGTATCAGAAAAATTTCTAGCTCCTTGGAGTAGGTTTCTTTCCAGCTTGCTTTTCCAAATGTGAGGCTCTTATTCCATTAGCCACAATTAACACTGTGAACCAGGTTTTAAGCACTTGCTGCTATAATAAAGAAAAGTTAAAAATGACTGACAGTTTGTTTTTGTTTTTGAGACAGAGTCTTGCTCTGTCGCCCAGGCTGGAGTGCAGTGGTGTAATCTCAGCTTACTGCAACCTTCAACTCCTGGGTTCAGGAGATTCTTCTGCCTCAGCCTCCCAAGTAGCTGGGACTACAGGCGCATACCACCATGCCCGGCTAATTTTTGTATTTTTAGTAGAGACAGGTTTTCACTATATTGGCCAGGATGATCTCGAACTCCTGACTTCATGATCCACCTGCCTTGGCTTCCCAAAGTGGTGGGATTATAGGCATGAGCCACTGTGCCTGGTCCAAAAATGACTGACAGTTTTAAAACAAGAAGACATTCATCCTGCCATGTTAGAAACCACTGCACAATTCCAACTTATCTTTTAAGCCAAGCAAAAGCAATCTTCTTGCTGAAATTTACTTTGAACATAATTAAACTTATCTTTTCACTGTGTAAAATCTGAATTTATTAAAAATATTCTTAAGTAGCCTTTAATCTTTACATTAAGATAGTATGAGGTTAATTTGTTAAAAATATTTTTAATTTGTAAAAACGATCAATTTAAAATATAACATAATTAAATGCATGCAAAATTTTGTGCGTGTACACATTTACATGTATTATTCTGGAAGAAGCAACCACGAGCCATGAACGGTTAAGGGCCATTGTTCAGAGGCCTCTGGTTTATGTCCTTCCTTACAGTTCTCAACTTGGACATGCTATTCTCACTAGCACCTGAATGGCTCGACTAAGGTGAGACCAAGGTTTTGTTTCACTCAAACTTTTGTTAATGCAGATGAAAATCATATACCTTGAATAGACTGTTCACTAGCCATGCTGCATTTTGGGTTCATATCTTATTAACTATTGAACTTGAACTACCACTTAAAAAAATACAGCAGAAACAGTCTTAAGTGGCTTCTACTTAGCCAGCTCCTACGACTAACTTAGTCTTATACTCCCCTTTCCCTCTGAAGACACCTACTGCACACTGACAATCTATGACTAGTTCCATGCCAGTGACAGTTCCATGAAGTTCCATGCCAGTGACACTTGTTGCTTTGTCTGCTTCTACTTGTTGTATCTGTTATTCTTATTATGTAATTTCATTAAATATTACATAAACCACTGAAATGTGTATGCAAAAGAGAAAAATGAGGATGAATGCTTTGAAAGGACTAGATAAAAGCAGAACACTTTAAAAAAAGGAACTGCTGAAAAATTAGGTGTGAGTGAAACTACTCTAAAAGGGTGGGGGAAACTGTGAAAATCTAAAAGGATTTTGTACTCAGACTACTTCAAATGTGTCTAGTTCTCACTCTAAAGAATCTGAAAGTTATTTTTAGATGATGCATTGAACTGCGGTTTATGCAAAATAAATCGCTGTTTATGAACCTATACTCACAGTCCTATGCTTGCATCCAAAGATTCACAAGTGAAGTATACTTACACATTTTAAGTAAAAAATGTTCAAAAAATAGATAATGATTTTTAAATGATTCCCACTTGAACCAACTTTTCAAAATTACCTACACATACCAACTGTATCATAGGAGAGTTTCTACTAACTGAAGAATCATATTAATCACCGGTAAAATTCATCTTTCTAGTTATTGGATTCTTATGAAATGGTGACTTGGTCATCAACCACACTAGCTAGGCCTCAGGTGTGCTTATTTCAATCTGATAAACGTGATTACCAGAGCATCTTACTAAAAAAGAAATGTAGTAAAATAAGAATCAAAGAAGACTAATGGACATATTCATAAATAATTCTCTATTTATACCTCAAAAGCAAGCTGTTTGCCTAACTAAATAGTGATGTCTTAACTGCTGGAGTGAATGACCACCTGTAGTGGGCGCTGATGGTGTTCTGCCAGATCCCCTTTACAGGCTGGTGCACCTATATTCTCCAGCTGCTGTGAGTGTCGGCTGCTGGAGAAAGGCTGTCACATCTGGAAGGTTATATGCCATCATTCTCTACTCCACCCTCACTCAAACAGCCTGCAGCCAATGGCTAACAGAGGTAAAAAAGGCCTGCCTCTTCGCTCTTGCTCCAAAACTTCCCATGAGTTCAGGCTGAATCCAGACCATTGCTTAGACCACACGCTTGTTTAGGCTCCTCCCTGACCACCCTCCTTCCCCTCACTCTTGTTCCCCTGAGAGCACTCTCGCAATAAATCACATACACCCAAATCCATGTCCTGGGCTCTGCTTCTAGTGAACATGACCTAACATAGCATCAATAATAAATAAAATTAGGCCGGGCATGGTGGCTCACGCCTGTAATCCCAGCACTTTGGGAGGCCAAGGCGAGCGGATCACAAGGTCAGGAGTTTGAGACCAGCCTGGGCAACATAGTGACCGCATCTCTACTAAAGATACAAAAAAAAAATTTTAAAATTAGCCAGGAGTGGTGGCACTTGCCTGTAATCCCACCTACTCAGGAGGATGAGGCAGGAGAATTGCTTGAACCTGGGAGGCAGAGGTTGCAGTGAGTCGGGATGGCACCATTGCACTCCCACCTGGGCGACAAGGCGAGACTCTGTCTCCAAAAAAAAAAAATTAAATAAATAAAATTGTATCTACACTACAGAGACAATGTCAACTGACACCTTCATATGAAATCATCTTTTGATTATGGCATAAAACATCACAAACATTTAACCTCTAAGATTTACACAAACATTGTAGCCTTATACTGAAGTATAAGGTATAGTGGGCATACACATATACAAATGCAAAATTATACATTTTTTGAATGACAATTTTGACACCTTAATGAATACATGCTTTTAAAGGTACTATTTTAATATGGATACTTTCCAAACACTTAAAAGAATAAAATGGCAAATGATGACTAAATCATCATACTTCTTCAAAGTCTTTTATATGACTCAACCAAAGTATTTTTCCCTCTCTCATGTCATCAAAAAGTAGCAATGTCTTTAAGTTGCCTAGTGCAGTTTACAGCATCCTCTAGTAACAAATTACCCGTGAGAAACAAGTATGTCTCATTTAATACATAAAATATGTTACTATAAATCTGCAGTAAAAAAAGATTGGAGGAAAAAAGTTATCTTATCAGGAATATTCATAGAGTCTGGGATCTGTGAGTAAACAAATATCTCAAATTATATTTCAAGATGGCACCTAAGACTGGGGTAAGCAGCCCAAAGACAGTCTCAACTGGAAAACCAGTAGTTCCACAGAGCAAACTTACAAGTTTGATTGCTGTCATCTAATCTACTGTTGATTAGATGACAGCAACAACAACAATAAAGGAAATCCACATAAGGAAAAAGCAAATTTCTTAAGAGGACACCAGGGACCAAGGTAGGCACAAATGGTTATTGCTCATTAGACACTATCACAAGCAAGGCCCTCTGAATTTCTGTACTTTGCCAGCACTCATTCCAAGGTTTCATAAACTCAGAAATAACTCTGCATTACATGAAGACCAGTTCCACACTATTTCCTTTGCAAGGTTATATGTTGTATGGTGTGTGTGTGTGTGTGTGTACATACATAAACATATACATATTTAATACTCACTACTCTTATCTCCAACACCCAGAACAGTGTCTGGTCTTGGAAAATACTAATGAATGAATGAATGAATGAATGAATGAATGAATGAATCCCAAGACCAATAGGAATGAACTAAAAGGTTTTAAATTGAAAAGTGACATAATCAAATTTGCCCATCAGAAAAATAACTCTGGCTGTAGAATGGAAATAAATGCTCAGCAAGGCCTGAAACCAGGAAGACTTTTGGTGGTTATTTCTCTATTTACTGCCGGACACATTTTAGGCTCTATAAAAAATATTCATTAAGAAATTACATTCACTCATGTATAAAGCTAATCTGAAAGCCTGGTAATGTATTACACCAGCTCTTTTAGAAGCTGAGCTACATTCCCTTTCAGTTTCCCCAATAATAGCTAAAATTAAAAAAAAAAAAAAAAAAAAAGCTAAAACTTATATAGCATTTATTGCGTCAGGCAATCAAAACATTTTATTACTCACATTATGTGTATCTTAGCAGAAGACTGTTAACAATACATTAAGATGGTTCAGAATCTACAATGTTTGAATAGTTAAAACAAACAAGAGGCTGGGTGTGGTGGCTCACACCTGTAATCCCAGCACTTTGGGAGGCCGAGGCGGGAGGATCACCTGAGGTCAGGTGTTTGAGACCAGCCTGGCCAACATAGTAAAATCCCACCTCTACTAAAAATATGAAAATTAACTGGAGTGGTGGCAGGCACCTGTAATTCCAGCTACTCAGAAGGCTGAGGCAGGAGAATTGCTTGAACACAGGAGGCAGAGTCACAGTGAGCTGAGATCACACCACCGCACTCCAGCCTGGGCGACAGAGAAAGACTCTGTCTCCAAAAACAAAAAAATAAGAAAAAAATAGTCTTTCCATTTGACATGTTATGCTTAAGGTAACATACAAATCAAGTTCTTATAAATGCTAACAAAATCACAATTAGCAACATTTCATTTATGAGGTATTTTCTCACTAATTTTTATTATTAGAAATAACACTTTAGTTGAAATTACTCCCAGAGATGCTAATAAAGTGACTATATAAAATAATAAATAATCTCTTCTTATGAGTAAGTCCTAAACAGTTTCGTTTTTCTCAATTTAGGTGACAGCTTTACAATGGAGTTCCCTGTTGAATACATAACCACAACCCATGGTTATCTAGTAATTGGCAATTCATATCCATTATCTCATTAATCTTATAACAACAATGTGAGACAGGTATTATTATAATAACTTATGCCAAAAGGGACTTGGGCATATAGTGTTCATATGATTAACTCAAGAAACTCAAGTAAGAAATGACAGTGTCAAGATTCAAACTTGAGTCTTCTACGTCATACTCGATACTCAAGACCACAAGAGTGAATCAACTCCGCTGTACCCTTTACTCTTACATGGCAAAATTTTTCTTTTTTCTTTCTGTCATGGTAAAACAAGCCCACATCAGCTCCTCAAAGTACCTGACAAAGTATATGACCACATACAATAAAAAAAGAAAATTCATAGAGTACTAAAGTCTCTAGCTGAGACCTTCATGCTGCACGTCATTATCAGAATTACTGATAATGCACACCACAGGTGCATTTAAATACTTTCTTCTCCCATACTTGGACAGATATCTCCAAGAAGGCAAAATGGTCAAAAGGAAGGTGGCAAAAAAGATTTAAAAAGAAATAAAAATAAGCACACTGCCATGTGTGTACCTACACAACTGTCTTGCATGCTCTGCTCATGTACCCCAAAACCTATAATCCAATAAAAAATTAAAAAAAAAAATTAAATTAATAAAAAATGCTAATCCAAAAAAAAAAAAAAAGAAATAAAAATAAAGTTGTTATTCCCCAAAATTTCATCATCAAACAAAAAAATTCTAAAAGATGAGCCAAAGATATTTCCCGGACTTCTGAGTATCAATCTGAAGAATAATGCTAGAGACAACAGCATAAATGACCTACTTGTTAAATTATTATACTTCATACTATGCTGGATTGTGGGCCGGTAGCAGGACAGGGCAACGGGGTTGGATGATCTTAAGAGCTTACAATCTAAAGATTGCAGATGTGAAGGAAAATTCAGAGAACAAGTCAGTGCTACGGTCTCTACCGAGGGCTCTCAGTACAATTCAGAGAATAAAGCCATCTGGGCAGTAGGAAAAAGAAAATGAGTGCTACCAATGGGGGAACAAGATAAAGCAGGGTATCAGAGGGTGGAAAAGTATACATAATTGTAGGCAAGGGAAGGAAAATAAACCAGACTAGGAAGTAGGCCATAAATCAACAAGCAAAAAACAAACCACCCCATTAAAAATGGGCAAAGGAAATGAACAGATACTTCTCAAAAGAAGATATACACACAGCCAACAAGCATATGAAAAAAGGTTAAACATCTCTAATCATCAGAGAAATGCAAATAAAAACTACAATGAGACACCATCTCACACCAGTCAGAAGGGCTATTATTAAAAAGTTAAAAAATAACAGTTACTGGCAAGGTTGTGAAGAAAAGGGAACGTTTATACACTGCTAGTGGGAATGTAAATTACATAAGCCACTGTGGAAAGCCGTTGAGATTTCTCAAAGAACTTAAAAGAGAACTACCATTCAACCCAGAAATCCCATTACTGGGTATATATACAAAGGAATATAAATCATTCTGCCAAAAAGACACATGTACTCATATGTTCATTGCAGCACTATTCACAGTAGCAAATACATGGAATCAATCTAGATGCCCATCAATGGTGGACTGGATAAAGAAAAAATGCTAAGTATATACCACAGAATACTATGCAGACTTTTAAAAAAATTAAATCAGCTGGGTGCGGTGGCTCATACCTGTAATCCCAGCACTTTGGGAGGCCGAGATGGGTGGATCACCTGAGGTCAGGAGTTCAAGACCAGCGTGGCCAACATGGTGACACCCCATCTCTATGTAAATAAATAAATAAAAATAAAATCACGTCCTTTGCAGCAACATGGATACAGCTGGAGGCCATTTTCCTAAACAACTAATGGAGGAACAGAAAATGATTTCATTTATAAGTGGGGGCTAAATATTGAGTACACTTGGAAATAAAAATGAAAACAACAGACTCTAGGGCCTACTTGAGGAGGGAAGGTAGAATGGTTGAAAAACTGCATATAGGAGAGTATGCTCACTAGCTAGGTGACAAAATCATTAGTATATCAAACACCAGTTACAGGCAATTTGCCCATGTAACAAACATGAACATGTACCCTCAAAGTTGGGGGGAAAAAAAACAAACAGAAAGTAGGCAGGATATCAGGGTAAGGTGGGCCAAAAAAGACATGGGAAACTGAAAGCAAGGCAAGAATTTGGGCTTGGCTTGGACAGTTAACCAGGAATAATGTGGTATATGTTATTAAATAGGAGGACTGCACAATAATGTTGTATTTTAACAAGGCTGCATATTATTTATAACAGAAGATGATATTACAATGCATAAATGGAAGAGAGAGTCTGCAGAAAGGCAGACAGGTCAAGACACTTCTTGGATGGTACTTTCTGTACTTAGGACCAGAAAAGGTAAATCCAAGGATCATGTTGAAGGGAAAAGTGTAGGACTTTATGAGAAAACAGAAATAAAGAGGCAGGCCAAGCGCAGTGGCTCACACCTGTAATCCCAGCAATTTGGAAGGCTGAGGCAGGTGAATCACTTGAGGCCAAGAGTTTGAGACCTGCCTGGTCAACATGGTGAAACCCCATCTCTATTAAAAATACAAAAATTAGTCAGGCGTAGTGGCACACATTTGTAATTCCAGCTACTTGGGAGGCTGAGGCAGGAGAATAGCTTGAACTTGGGCCGAGGTTGAAGTCAGCCAAGATCATGCCACAGCACTCCAGTCTGGGTGACAGAGCGAGACTCCATCTCAAAAAAAAACAAAAAAGTAGAGACAGAGAGAGAGGGGCCAAAACAGAGAAGAATCCAAAATTATGTCAAAGTTTCTAGCTCAGAAAACTGATCAA